TGCCGCCGACCCGCGGGGCTGGGCGGCCAGAGCTGAGGTCGATGCCGGGGCTGGGCGGCCAGAGTTGGGGTCGATGCCGGGACCGGGTCCGGGCTTGCTCGATGGGGGAGCGGAGGCTCCCGGGTACGCCAATATCCGGCTCCGCGGCCGCGCCCCAGCTGTGCGGCCCTGCGAGAGGGAAACGTATTCCTGCCCCATCGGGTCAGCGGAGACCTCGTGGGCTGTCACGGAGCATCTTCATACTTCCAACTGCCCAGCGTATATGAGTTAGTTGTGATGGGCTTTGGTTCCAAAGATTAATAGGATTTACGTGGAAGCGGTTAGCGAACTACGTCCCGTATTCAAGCCCTGTTTTTCTTCCCTAATTTCTTTTTTGCTGAGGCAACAACGGAAATGTCTAACCGAGAAGAAGCCGAGATACAAATTTCGGAATTAGATTTGCTGTCTAGCATGTTCCCTTACGAGGAAGAGTTCAGCGTGACTGACCAGGTGGCTGTGGCAGAACTGAAGCACTATGTTGAAGATGAGTCTGCAGAGATGCCGTCTTCAAAAGTTCAGTTTGTACTGAACGTAAAGCCAGAGGTCGCTAATGCCTCTATGGTATTGTAAACACCTTTTAACATTTTTTGGTTTGGTTTGGTTTATTTTGTGGGATTTTAGGGATTACTTGAATTGAATGTATGCTCATTTATTTTTAGGTGGCATTCTCTATGTCCTGTGCCTTACCATTTCAATATCCATCTGTTCTACCAGAAATTACTGTGAGGTATGGCATTACAAGTACAGCTAATAAAAACATTTAGAAGCTATGGTGTACTACATAAATACAGTTATAAGAGGAAAATCAATCAATTTTTTGATAGTTTACTGTCAAATTAAGCCAGGTGGACAACAAAAACAAATCTCCAAAGTTATAATTTCTCCGGTACCCTCACCAAGTGAGAAAAATGGGGAAAAGCGTGTAGCAGTGCCATCATCTGTACAAAGGAGTTGCATGTAGATAGTGTTCATAAGCCCGATGCTCAAGAAGATGGACTCTTGTCCATTTTGGTAAGGCTTAACACTAACTAAAGGAGTAAAATGTTATCCAGTGGTCTTATTCTTCCCATATCACAAAGGCTTTCTGTTACTTTTTATTGCAACATTTCTGTTTAAAGAAGTAGCCTTTCGTATTACAAGAAATTAATTTAGCCACCATACTTACTCTTCAAGTACCTTTTTCTTGATTTTGATTTACAGATTTGTAGTACTATATGTGAACTCAAGAGTTAGCACACCAATTAAATACTAATTAGGACCTTTTGTAGCTGATATGACTAAAATATCAATAGCAACTGCACGCCATCTAAATATGGTCTGACTTTTTGGCAGCTTGATGTAAAACTGTTTGAAAAACATACTAAATAGTAAGTCTATTACAACTGCATTTGCGTTTTTCTTTAGGTCACCATTATTAAGCCGCTCTCAGCAGGTTCACCTGAACTCTGATCTAAAAACATATTTGATGCAACACTGCAGTGGTGAGCCTTGCATGTTGAGTGCAAGGGAATGGGTCAAAGACCATGCAGCTGCTTACATTGACAAAGAGCTTTCATCTTCCTCGGTGATGTCATCAAATGCTATTCAGTCAGAAGACGCCATGTTCACTCGGATGTGGATCTATAGTCATCACATTTACAACAAGCAAAAAAGAAAGAATATTATTGACTGGGCCAAGGAACTCTCTCTGACAGGGTTTTGCATGCCAGGCAAACCAGGTGTTGTTTGTGTAGAAGGTCTACAAAGTAATTGTGAAGAGTTCTGGTCAAGGTTAGTTTTTCTTTGTACTGAAATGCCATTGGCAGTTAGAGTATTACATGTTTCACGTATACGTGGCCGGAAAGTGGGAAATCCAACGACCTCCCAACCCGCAAAAGTCTGCAAAGTATTTGTGTTTATCATAATGTATTTATTTACAACTCTGAATGTCCACTGTGCTGTTGATTACAAACCACTGGTACCGCACTGGGCACTTTCCCTTGGTTTACCTTCCTCTGTATTTCGTTTGCACAGCGATGGACTGCAGTACCCCAGCTGTGTTAGATACATATGCTGCTGTACCGCTTCACATTCGTGATTCACTCTGCTCCCATCGTTTATGTGTCTGGGTGGTGCAGACTAAATGAGCATCGTCGTTTGATTCTAACAGCTAAGAGAGTATGAGAATATGAGGATTCTTGGCACAGGCAAGGCAGAAGTGAGCACTGAAATTGACACCACTTCATCATCAGTTATTTTGTGGGGAGTAACATTAAGGTGTTTGAATCCTGGGAAGATACAAAGAAACAAGCTCCTGCTTGTGGGAGTGTTTATGTGTGAGTAGTATTTCTGTGACCAGCTGGGGAACCATTCATTACCTCTGTCAGCATGTATGTCCAAATGGAATTAATTGACTTCTGTGATAATAGCTCTTTCACAGTATTTTCTAAAACAGTCTTTATATTCTCCATTCATATTTCTCCAATTGCTTTCAGAGTAAGAAGATTAACGTGGAAAAGAATTGTCATTCGGCACAGAGAAGATGTTTCTTTGGAAGGTGGAGGACATGCTGAGATTCAGAGGCAAAGAAAGTTCTCTGCTTTGGAAGAAAAATGTTTTGATGCACATGGTGCCAGAGGAAATCATATGGATTTGGGGCAGCTATATCATTTTTTAGAAGAAAAAGGATGTGCTGATGTTTTTCAAATGTACTTTGGGGTGGAAGGGCATTGAAAGGGCTGAGGATCACCACAGGTCCAATCAGTGATCTTTGTACATTAACCCTTGTCACAGATTTCTTATCTGTTTTGCAGTGGTTGATCAGAGAGGGAATTAATAATTTATGGTTGCTATAATCAGTTTTCAGTGAAAACAAATAATCAGGGAAATCCTGCAGCATGAAAATGACTAAATGAATACTTTATTATGCTTTCTGGTTTTCAGGGCATTTAGAGTACAGACATAATTACAAAGAGAGAAAATATGTTTGATAACCTACCAGGAAGCTACAGAACTATAGATTGAATGAATGGATGGAATTACAGTGAATGAATGTATGACTAAGAAGAGACAGAAATGAGGTGTGGATACCTCAGGAGAGGAAACGTGATGTTTACAGTCTTTGTTATTGTTTACGAGCACTACATAAAGACTTCTTTTGTAAAAATCTTTTCCTTTCTTCCTGAAAGTATGTTCAGCCATGAGATTGATTTTCTGTTAAAAAAAAAAGTTCACAAAAGCCTTCTTCATGCAAATGGGATGAGCTGGGATGCCTGCTGGAAGGCAAAGGGTTTTCCATAGGTGAAAGTGTGTTTGCAGCTCAGAGGGATACGGTGGTGACTCTGCTACACCTGTGGCTGAGGCATCTGTCTGTTTGCTCCTGCAGCGGCAGGAGCTCACCAGGGGTTGGACCCCCGTGCAGCATGCTCCAGAGCAGTAAACGACCCTTGCCCTGCCGACCTCTCAGGTCTGCAGCCCGCTGATTTAAAGTGCATTACGCTGCTTATGGTTTTGAGTTTGGCGTCCCCAAATCTGTGTCAATGAATGCTATTTTGTTTCTTTTGCTTGCTTAGGAATTCTGTATCTCAGTCAGGTCCATGGCATAAAAAGCAGATGTCGGTGGCTCGTGGAGCTGATGGTGTTTCTGCGTGGATCCCTAACCGGTGGGTCGCGGCTGCGGACCCGGGCACCCTGCGCAGGGACACTGGGCAGCGGCCCCGTTCTGCAAGTACGGAGTCGCCTCCGTTTAAGACTCCGCCAAGCCCCAGGTCCGTGGAAGCATACAGGAACACCGCGGGTTAATAAAGGACGCAGGAGGCGCTCGAAGTCTCCGCACGTTGGGGTCTGTAGTTTACTAAGGTCACGAAGTTTAAAGGTATTTCAACCAGATGATGTCAGTGGTGTGTTTCACGACAGTGCGTTGGAGATTATCAGTAAGATTTCAGGAAGAAATTCTTCCCG